CAATAATATCACGCTCTCCAATACTTGTATCCAGATCTCCAACAATTAAAGCTGCTACTTCAGAAACTTGAGGCAGATTATATGTCCTCGCATCTCTAGTTCGTTTTCCCAACAACTTTATTTTTACTTCGGCGCATGGATTAATATCCAACTCAGACATAGCCATGCGAAAAGACTTAACCAAGACATTATTTTCATCCAGGTCTTTCTGAATGACATTCACTATTTCTACATGAATGTCATCTTGGTCACCACTACCCCTACAACAACATATACTTGGAATTGATATTTATTTAGATAAAAAATAGTATTTAATGTGTAATTACGGAAACTTCTTTACCTCACAGCATTTATACGGTTGTTCCTTTCATTTCGTGTCGTATATGTATAACTGGGCAAAATGAGGTTCTTTGCCTTGTTCTGGAAGTAAAGTGCCCATTAGGTGGTAGTTTTGACCACTTAATCGAAAAATTGGAGGTGCTCCCCCCTTGTTCACGTTCTTGTCAATTTTTCCACCCATGGATGTGAAGCAGAACATGTTGTTGTAGGTCCTAATGTTGTGTAAAAACTCTTTTGATATTTCGTCATTGCCGAAAAAGAGATCAAATATACCTTTTGGTGGCAACTTATTATCCGGCAATTTGATCTTCCCATTGTTGCAACACAACATAAACAGTGGCGATGCTTTTGTTGACAAATTCTTCTTCCTTTCTTCAAACCAAAACAGAGCCCCACAATGGACGCACTGATTCGTTGCATCACCAAAATCGCAGTATTGACCTGAAACCAAATATATACAAATTTAAATACTGATTTATATTTCAGGCACGTATAAAACAAACATACATACCATGTTGTGGACCAGAGGATGTCCCAATTTCCGAGGTCTGCCTAACAGCGTTACCCGATATATTTGCATCTGAAATTAAAAAACATTTAAAAATTATTTTTAATATTGAAAGAGTGACCATATGTACTTTACTTATATTTGTTTGAAACACCACAGGGGACTATTTTTTTACCATCTATGTTCTGATTTGGGACATCGCTCATTGTATTGTTACTTTCATCTTCAAAGGCAGGTAGCAAGTCTCTGGTTGTTACATGGTCTTCGACAATTGCATATTTATCTAATGGTTTACGAATTGCCAATTCATCTTGTGTTATCGTCGAACCCGGATTTTGTTTATCTACAATAAAAAATTTCTGGCAATTGCTTGGACCTATTTGTGTATTGCACTGCCGTACTGTACACATACATAATATTAGACAAATTTAAAGAATAACAATATTTAAAGTGACAATTAATTGAGACCACTACATTTTATGGGACTATAAAAAAATAAGTTGGTAGCACGTACTAACATAAAAAGGATAGAATTCTTAATATTATAAATTAAATACACTTAACATTATAACTTATGCTACCCTAGAATATGAAATAGTAATTTAACTGTATAAGTATTATTATATTTTATTGGAAAAATCACATGATAGACCATGGTCCACAATAATGTGTGCACCATAAATAGGAATAAAAGTGAAAAAGTGTATTTCAGCAAAAAATTGATATTAGAAATTGATATTATCAAATAAATCATATATCCAGCAAAAAATTAGTGAAATTACAATTCCACACATACTTATATGTACCATGAGTTACATTATAATTAAATTACACATAACAAAAGAAATATAACTATTTGAACAAAAAATTAGAAATTGATATTATCAAATAAATCATATATCAGGCAAAAATTAGTGAAGTTACAATTCCACACATACTTATATGTACCATGAGTTACATTATAATTAAATTCACAAAGAGTCTATAGCAATTCAGCTTAGGGCATTTACCGGTAGTGATGTTACTCAATGGTGTGATATTTTCATACAAACATCCTCGCTGGGGATTAGTGTAAGGAGTAGCTGTCGTCCGTTGGTCTTGATCTTGAGCAGCATTATTCGTAAAAGATGAGCAACGAAATGATTTGCTGTGATTGAAAATATACCATTAAATTAAGAACTAATTCCAATAATTATAACTCGAAACAATTAAGCACACATAACATAAATAATTTTACAATTGCACAACTTTAATACGTAATCGAATAGAATTATGTAGACGATGGTCCACATTCTAACTTAAATACAATTCAAATCTAAAAGTATATATCATTAAGTACAATGTAATCAATTAATTACACCTAATCAATTAATTAGAAATTGATATTAAACATAAATTACATTACAATTATAACATTTAATTTGACAAACAGCTTCGAACAATTAACAGTATAAGGACATTTAAATTAACAATTAATGTATATCAATTCATATATTGGGATTTACCATTACTGATGTTACTGAATGGTGTGATATCTGGGGACAAACCACATCCCAACGGATTTTGGGTTCGATTATTTGGCGTATTTTGCTCTTTCCCTTGACAAGCATTAGTCATTAATGATGATTTGCAAAATTATTTGCTGTGAGGAAAAAAGAATCAATTAAAAGACGATAAAAACAACAGTAAGTACAACAATTGACATTTTTAAAATTAATCACACCTAATGCTATTCATTACGCTAGCCTATAAGTGTAAATTGTAATTGTTTTAAATAAGGTTTACATAATAAGTAGACCAATAAAAAGGTTTTTTAAATTCACAATGATGCTATATCAATTGAACTTAGTTGATTTACCGTTAGTCATGTTACTCAAGGGTGTGATGTTTTGCGGCAAACACCCTCCTAGAGGAATGCGGGAAGGATTTCTTGCCGGAGGCTGTTGTTTTCCTTGAGCAGAATTATTCCTTGATGATGAGTTGCCCAATTCATTTTCTGCGAATTAGAATAGAACATTAAAATAAATAATAATCCAAATAATTAAAAATCCTAAAAATGAATTACACATAACACAACTAACAGTACATAATTAATTTCGAATTGTTCAAAATTTACCTAACAATTATTTACAAATTAGTGATTGTGCCACTAAACACACCTAACGGATAATCTAATTGTAATATATATATATATATATATATATATATATATATATATATATATATATATATATATATATAACCTGAAATTGTAATGGCTATATAGTAACACTAATTTTATTTGACAAACTCTTAAGTATAACATTGTCCACAATAAATACCATTAAAATTGTTAAGATTATATATCTAATTAATTACACATAACAATTCAAAATTAAATATATAAATAAATAACTATATACATATCTATATATTTATTTATTAATTTATATGTATAAACTATTTAAATATATATATTTTCTGTATATATATAATTTGCCGCACATAATATATATATATATATATATATATATATATATATATATATATATATATATATATATATATATATATATATATTAATTATTATTGTTTTTCCGGTCGGAATATTGAGAGAAGAGGAAGGAGGCTGATAAGCCTTCTCCTTCGCTTGACCTCTCCTTCTCTCATGTCTGAACCGCTCTGTTCTTCAGCAATTCCAAACGATCTTCCTATATTTCTCTGTCAAGCCTAAATCTAGATCAGTACTAAGTCGTAATCTCCGATTCAACTGTTCTTATTGAACATTATTTCCGGAGAAATTGTAGTCGGGTCTCGCTTAGCATCGATCCGATTTTCAATACACAATCCCGATCTTTCCTTTCTGTGAAAGATCGTAGTGTTCAACAACGGTAAATGGTGGCAATCGCGTTTCAGTGAAGCTAATTTTCCAATTCTAAGGTTAGTATGCTTTAAATCTACACAAAATTTGTTTAGGGTTTCGTACTTTTCATTGTTCTTTGTTCTAAAATTGATCTACATTTCTAGATCTACGCATGCATATCGACAATTCGTAGTCCAATTTATTGATTTCAGATTTGTATGATTCATAGCCATTAGTGTTCTAAACCGTATTCTTTTTAGAAATTGCTCTAAAAACACCAAATAGAAATTACTCTTAACTGTTTAACAATCATTTTCAAAATGGTATAGCTATATTATTATTCACACAAACCCTAACCTTTTTTCGACTTTATCATGTTGTTTTTCATGAACATACTGGAATTTTTTGAGGAGACAGAGAGCATAAACAGAATCGCACAGGAAGAGGATGCTATAATGAAGCTTAATTTGAAGTATTAAAAAGATAAGTTTCGAACTTACCTTTATTTTCATCACTTGGTTTCCTTTTGATGCCTATAATTGTTTATTTAGTGATTTTCCTCATTGCTCTGTCTATTGTTTTTACTTGAAAATGTAGATGTGATTTGTCTATTTTACTGGGGTATGAAACTGGCAGGTTGTGTTGGTAGTTAGATGGGGCATCCTTGTTTAGATGGGTTCATTGTAGTTTATTTTAATTTTGCCTTGATTTTGAAAATAGGATTGGAACTGAAGAGTTTTCTCTTAATAGTAATGATAGCTGCCCATCAATTCTATTTAATGTTTAGGCAATGTGTTTCTTTTCCTAAGAATGATTAACTAATACTTAACAGGACAATAATTCCCTTGCCTTGGCAGTGTATGGCAGTGTATTCACTTCTATGTTATGGCAATTAAAATATAGTTTCAGTTTTTTAGTTAACCGAACAATGTTAATTAATTTACAACTCTGGAATTGCAATGTTGTTATCTAATTTCTTTCAAAATGTGGCTGCCAATTTATTCAATGTATGTGTTGTTATTATTTATTCTGGACAGAAATACTAACCTTGTTTATTTTTTTCTTTTTAGAGCTACTGAAGAGTAGCCAGCAGAAAAGAATCACTATGGCCTGATCAGAAAATAAGTTAAGACTCTATCTTGATTTGGCTTAGTTTAGATGACTTTGGACTGTTATAGTTTCACAGTTTGTAAGTCTGTTGTAAGAACATTGAACACATACATTAATTATTTGATTCTACTTATGAAATATTATGAACACATTCTAACAATTTTAAATTTTTGGGGTATTTTTTTTAGAATGGAATAGTCCAAGCTTGTGACACATTGAAATGCAGCAAGCTGAAAAGAACCAAGCAATCAAAGACCACTAAAAGCATTATGGTCATATAAGCAAATAGGTTAAGACTTTATTTTTATTTGTCTGTCTTTAGATTAGTTTGTATGCATATACTTGCCTAGTTTGTAACTTTGTTCACTTTACTTTGTAAATATTCTGAACACAGATTCTAACAAATTTTTTTTTTTTTTTGTTATTCTTTTTAGAATTAAATAATTCAAGCTTTGAAGAAATTGAAGAGCATCCGTCAGAAAAAAACCAATCAATCAAAGACCACTAAAAGCAATATGGTAATATAAGCAAATAGGTTAAGACTTCCTCTTTACTTGACTGTAGTTAGATTAGTTTGTATGCATATACTTGTATAGTTTGTAAGTCTGTTCACTTTAATTTGTAACGCAATACTTTTCCATTACTGGTTTTTACTTTACTGCATTGTTTTTTTCTATATAAGTATACAATTCTGTAATGTTAGCACAGTAATGTTAATAACTTTTTTTTTTGCTCTTTGGTCAAAACTGGTATAACTATTTTGTATATATCATAATATACTTTAACTGTGTTTTATTGCAAGCAACAACTTTGGTTTTTTAATACTACACACATTCAGTAAGATGTCCTTGTTCAATAAATGGTCCTCGACTATCAAACAACTTCATATATTTTTAATTGTAGTGTCTTTGATATCTTGACTTTGGTGCATTATTTTATTCTATATAAGCATATAAGTGACCTTTGTGTATGATAAACTTTTTTTTGTTAAGCAGATTCTCATTTATTAGTGAACACAGTAATTTAAATTCGCTTTTTTTACTCTTTGCTTAAGACTGGTATAATGTTCTTGTATGTATCATAAGATTCTTTAATTTGTTTTTATTGGAAGAAACAACTTTATTTTATTAATAATACAAACCTTGAAAACTGTCTTTGTTCTCCAAATGGTCCTCGAGTATCGACAATGTTAATCTATTTTTATTTGTATGCTATTTGACCTCTGGTATTTTTTAAATTATTTTATTCTATATTGCTATAAAAGTCAGATATGTTTAGGATCAAAACATTTTTCAGTTTAAAGGATTGTTGGTTTTTTTGTTAAAACAGTAATGTAAATGAATAAAAAAACTCTTCTTTTAGTTGTTGTTATCTAATTTCTTTTTAAATGTGCTAGAAAACATTGATGGATTCCAGCTTGAACATCAATTGATTTCGAGAGATGCAAACAGAGTAAAGGAAGATTGTGCAAATAGGTAATTGGAACTAACACCTTTTTTTTAGCACAGTATATTTACATATCTTCATATTAGAATTTCAAACAGAGTTAAAGAAGATTGTGCAAATAGGTAATTGAAACAAACTCTATTTTATAGGCACAATATATTTAGATATAAAGTCTTAGAATTGGAAATAGGAAAATATACCCTAAACCCTAAACTTCAAAGTCTAAATTGCTTGGCAAACTATTTCCATCTTGTTTGCCTTCTTAAACCTTGGCCACCTAGCATCTTTGCTAAACTTTGACACCTTTCATCCTTACTCTGAATAACCTGTTAGGAAAATTAGGAAAACTGCAAAACAGGCACAATATATTTAGATATAAAGTCTTAGAATTGGAAATATGAACATATAAAAAACACAATTTAAAACTCTAAATTACTTACCAAAGAATTTCCATCCCGTTTGCCTTCTGAAACCTTAGCACCTGGCATCTTTGCTGCAAAACAGGCACAATATATTTAGATATAGAGTCTTAGAATTGAAAATAGGAACATATAAAAACACAACTTCAAACTCTAAATTGCTTGCCAAACTATTTCCATTCTGTTTGCCTTTTAAACCTTGGCCACCTTGCATCTTTGCTAAACTTTAACACCTTTCATCCTTACTCCTAATAACCTGAAAGGAAAATTAGGAAAACTGCAAAACAGGATATAATAGCAGTATACACAACCATTTATTGTACTAAACAGATAGGTAATTACTAAAAGCATTAGATAAAAGTTCAAAATCATCCATAGAACTAAAAAAAAAAAAAAAAGAAATTGTCACACCATAGTATTACAAAAAAAAAAAAAAAATTGTCTGGATAGGTGCCCGTCTAACAACAGCCACTTTCAACCATCAATCTGAATTACAACTTTTCCTTTTTTATTTCTGAGTCATTCAATTTCCTACTTTTGGACGATGAAAACTCATCCAAAAGTGACCTTTTAATGGCACCAGCATTTTCTGCATTGTCTTCTCCTTCCTTTTGCGAGGGCTGGACAGTGGCAGGACTATTGACTTCAACTCCAATAGAATCTTCCTATAATTAAGAACAGCAGAAAAACCTATTAGTAACCAAAAAAAAAAAACCTATAATTTAGGGTTTCAAATTCTTACTCCAGAAACTGCATTAGTGTTAGTTTCCTCCTCAATCATCCTTGACATTAAGTCTTGCTCTTCATGCTCCACAAATCTGTCAGCATAGGTCTTAAGCAAGTGCTCATCCCTTACAACCCTAACAACATTGAATGGGTAATTGGGACCCATCTTTTGGGCCAGTTTGAAGTTGATCTTAAAAAGCATCTTCATACCAACTATAACATCTAATTCAGGTGGCACTTCAACATCAAGCTGTTTAGATAGTCGATAAATAACCAAATTAAAAACAGATAATGTAAACAGTTTAAGAAAAAAAAATGTAGACATTAGGTAATAAGAATTTACCTCCTTGTATTTTGCATACAAAATAGAGGCAGGAATACCCACAAGCTCTGTAACTTCCCTATCCCAAAGCAACATGGGAGCATCTCCAGACTTGTCAAGAGCAATAACAACTACTTTGTACCTAACTGTACCCATCATACAACTCTTCTTACACTTAGTACAAAAAAGTGTCCCTTCCTGTTCTTTAAGCTTCTTATTACATCCAAGTTTCAGGCATGATAAGTAATACCAACCATCCTCAAAATCCAACCCAAGAATCTCAGCAGCAACATAGTAGTCCCCATCCTATAGTATTCAAAAAAATTGATAAGTATATATAGCACTTAATAATTTCAGTTACATCAAACTACAAAAGGAATTGGTAGTTTAGTGTGTGGATTACCTTTTCACCTTCTTAATGTCATGGCAGTTAGTGACAATAACAGAAGCATTATTAAAATCACTTAGTCCTGTAGAGTTGGAATGCAGTGTGCCAGTACTGAGACTCCTCATTGGAGTACCCTGAGCTTTCATGCTTCAAAAAGATTAGAAACTTAGTTAGATGTGTCTAAAACACAAAACAACAATAAAGTAGACAACATTTAAACTATCTTTCTTATTTTTAGATATGCATTTGAGTAAAAAGTAGAGCACATAAACTCTTTAAACTATCTTTCTTATTTTTAGATATGCATTTTAGACAACATTTGCCTAAAATAAGTAGTAGAAAGTAGAGCACACAGTAATTAAAATAGCAAAAAAATTAGTAGAAACCAAAAAAAAAGGAGAAATATAAAAGATGGAACTTACTTTGACTTAAACTCTTTAAACTCTTCCCAATCCTCATTAAACCACAGCTTCGTAGCATCATAGGAACTGGTTATTCTCACTTCACCTAAAATAAATGAAAAATATAGATGCATGTATTTTTAGATATATATTAGGATATATATACAGTATAGAATATTTAGTATTTGAATCTATAGATTAGAAGAGAAAACAGTATAAAAACTCACCACCCACAACTTTGGCCCTACAGCATTGAATGACAACAATCAGTGGTTCAACAGAATCACTATTGTAAAAAGGCATCAGGGAACTAACATGCTCATTCCACAGTGTACACATGATGGTGTTATCACTGGTTTAGAAACAGAAAAAATACAAAATTAAAAAAAAAATGCATTATATTCTAATGTAATCAAATTTATTTTAAAAAACTTACGCATTGTCTTGAAGTTGGAAGTCTATTAGTTTGGTGGCCTTTCCCCCTACAATCTTGTCCACAGGATTGTAAATCTCAACTACCCTTCCAATAACATCTGCAAAATGAACAAAGTATAATCAATAACTACTAAAAGTAGAATAAAAAACATATTAGCAGATAGGAAAGTTAATTTTAGTACCAATCAGCTCCTTGTCATTCACATCATCAGGATCTTTCAAAGCCTCAAAACTCTTTAATCTAAACATTTTGCAAGGAAACCCCTTAGAATGTATTTCCTTGACTTGTGTTCTGTAGTTAAATTTGAGCAGGAAACCATGCTCTGTAATCTTGTACACGTAGTAGTTTGTAGAGGCCATGAAGTTCTTTATTTCATAAACTTTCCCTTCCTTGATTGTATCTCTATACTTTACAATGTCTTTCTTGATGATACTCGCATGAATATAGTCTCCCTGCGAATACAATAGTAAACAAATTTTAGACAACAAAACAGTTTAGGATGAGTAGATAACATGGCATGATAGTAGCTTAATTGAAAGAGTACTATATGAGAAGATTATAGATAGTAAAACACACTAAGATTATTAGATAAAATGGCAGCAGTTCGTAGACAAAATAATATGTGAAAATAGATAAAATTACCTCTTCATCATGGAACACAACTTCCATGCTCTTACTAACCTGCCCCTATCCCCTTTTCTCAGGAACTTCAAACACACGAACTGCTCTCACTCGTATTGCCCTTTGCTGGTGTTCCGGCTTGATGTTCCTGACAGCAATGAACATGGAAGGCATGTTGAAACACCAAATATTGCTTTAGAAAGGCCTGTAAAGTGTGATTACTTTCGGAAGTGTCCGACCATGAAGAAGACCGGTATTTATACATACTGAAGATTCAAAAAAAAAAGGAGATACCGGCATTATATGTTTGGGAAATACCACATCTCAATTAATGTAAATTTGAATATTGCAACTCTTCATATTCTATGTAATCTAGGTATCTCTGTATGTATGTAATGCATATAATTGTTTCTTGTATGCCGTAGCAGTTCATTATTATTTGTAGATATTAATAGGAGTGATCTTGGTTACAATACCAAAGAGTTCTACATTAATTGAACTCCTTGGGAACCAAGGACTGTGTAATAATAACAACGGCTAGGTATATTCCCAATAGCGATTCCCATTACACGCGCAGAGTAAAAACGGAAGTAATTCGAGATGCATAACTATACCAAAACTGCGTCGTTTTCATTGGGCGGGAAACAATGATTGGCAAAACTTCTTGCTTTATTATAGAGTTAGATTAGATTGGGTTAAATTTAGGAACCCACTCCTTGACCAAAATAAATAAATGATTCTTTATATTCTCATGAGAAAATATAAATGATATTTCAAAATTTCAACATGAAATTTCAAAATTAGAAGATACGCATGCCCCTTTACAACCATTTAATGAAATTGGATTGGATGTTGTAACTTGTAACAGAAATTAAAGTTTCTTATATTCTTATATACAAAATAAAAATTTAAGCTATAAGTTTAGTTAATAATTATTTTTTAATACTATTGATTTGATAGTATCTGTTCTATACTTTCTCTAATTAATGCAATCCAAAGAGTCAATACCCCACCCACTGGAGTTTGATCCTGCGACCTTCCCTCAAACGCACTCTTAGTATATTAAAAATGTACTTCTTATTTATAGTTCAAATTATGCTATGAGCACATGCCCACCCTGCATATGGTGCGCACGAATCTATATCCATAATTTCTATATTGTAGATCCATAATTTCTAGAATCTCAGTGAGCTAAAATTTATACCATGTTTTCACAAATCAGTGCAGTATAGAAATTATGGATCTACTGTATTTAAATTATGGATCCTACAGTTTTAGAAATTATGAATCTAAAGTATAAATTTTACCTCACCGAGAGTCTAGAAATCGAGTTAGAAGATGACTCGTGTCAATGAGCTCTGGTAACCAATGATTGTCTTTATCATTCGTTATCTTCACACATCAAATGATCTTTCTTTATCATTTGTCAATGATTTGCCTGAGAGATAGACCCTTCCAGGTTTCGGTCTATGTAGATCTCTCGGTCTTGTCTTCACTTCTTCTTCTTGATCTTTGGTGACGAACTTGCAAGAGCATATTAGCTCGCGTTGCAGACAGTAAGCACGAATCAATCAGTGCTTACAATGGAGATTCGTCATAGAACATCCCAACCTAGAAATATAAGGTAGCGAGACTTGGAAATGAACAAATTCTCTGTTTGGCATGGGACAAAAGGTGAGCCTTTTTTGTGAGCATAGAGAGTAAATTCCGAATTCCTAGAAAAATGCATGAGGTACTGAAGTTGAAGTGAAACTGTAGCAACCAGACTAAAACAATAAGAGGATGGTTCTGGTTACGATTTAGAATTAGAAAAAAATAAAATAAAATAATCGTTGAATTTAGACTATTTTAAAAATAGAAAATAGAATTTACAAAAATAAATAAATCAATATTAAACCACCAGTTCAAACTAAAACTGGTTCAGTTAATCAAACCTAGATAAGATAAGACACCCTTTTTGGAGTCCTGGAGGGTATTGTCTCAATATACAAAAAAATAAAAAAAAAATAAATAAATAAATAGTACAAAATACAATTATACAAAACATGTGACATTGTGACATAACAATATAAAATTTTTCTCACCGTTTAAAATTAGAAAGAGATAATTTATATTTATATATAATATAATATTGTAATGATTCATTCCTCATGAATAATATAACTTAAAAGTAAATTCATAATTTCTATACTATAGATTCATAATTTCTAAATTGTATAGTTATCAAATTATGAACATATATATAGTTCAGTGATTTGTGAATACAGAGTTCAACAATTGGGAATATGAACATTGAAAATTATGAACATAGAGTTTTCAGTTTTGTAATTGTAAATATAGAGTTCAATAATTATGAATCTATAGTAGGATTATTCTCTTGAAATGTTCACCTAGCTGCATGACTAGGCTAGCTAGCTGATGAATAATAATCTAAAGTAATAATTTAATGTTGTCCTTTGGTTGTGTTTTTATGTAACAAGAGAATGAGCTTTGTCCATGGTTGAAGGATAGACCAAGGAAACCTTTTCCGGTAACTAACCACGACTGTCTACAACTCGGCTCGCCAGTCATTGGAATTGGTGCCGTGCTTGAACCTCATGAAGTCCACAATCAAGTTGTTCTGCTGAAACTGCTCCGTCGGTGCTGAACCGTTAGAATTATTACTATTTCCATCGATTGAGAATTCTCGCTGCTGCTTAGATAGAACTTTGAGCTTGGAGAACCTAGGGCTGCGTCTTTAGAGGAAGAGAGTTCTCAGTGACGGCAGATATGAAGTCAACGGCGAATCAGCGGCGGAATTGGAGGGGAACAAAGAAAGTCAGGCGGCAGCAGAAGAAAAAGAGGAGAAACTCATCGGAGAAGAAATCGTCGCTGAAAATGGAGAGAATCTAATCGGAAAAGAAAGAAAAATGCGTAAAATGACTAAAATACCCTCATCATTTGACCTATTAAATTTTTCAGGTGAGATTTGGCCGACGTGACCAAAATTGATAGAAATTGCATAGTTGGCCGGCAATTTGGCCGATATGGGATGGGGCACCAGCTGCAGACCCCCTTCTGACAAGCAAACACGGTGCAGCACGGCCTCAGCGTTCATTGGCGACCATTTGCGTCCTGGAAGTACAGGAGTTAAGACTATTAATATCTGTTCAAGACCTTTTTAGGGACCTTCCAAGTATCTCATACCTTTTAAATTTTTGTTCAGAAGTGTGCTGGCACTGAGAAGCCAACAGACGTAGAGGATGGGGCGCCAGCTGCAGGCGTCGAGGATGGGCGCCAGCTACAAGCGTCGAGCGTGTTGCGGCAACTGCAAGCGTCGAGGATGGGCCACCAGCTGCTGGCGTCGAGCATGTTGCGCCAGCTGTAGGCGTCGAGCGTGTTGCACCAGCTGCAGGTGTCGAGCGTATTACTACGGGACAACTCCCAACAAGATCAATTAGGTGTCTCCGTGAGTGTCTCGATGATCGAGCACAGTACTTTCTGGTACTTGAAATAATTAATCGTATCAGAGCAATATATATATATATATATATCATGGTATCAGAGCCCTTATTTTGGTATCACACAATACCCTCATTATTTGACCTATTAAATTTTTCGGTGAAATTTGGCCGATGTGACCAAAATTAATAGATATTGCATAGTTGGCCGACAATTTAGCCAATATGGGATGGTGCGCCAGCTGCAGGCCCCCTTCTAACAAGCGATCATGGTGCAGCATGGTCTCAGCGTTCATTTGGTGACCATTTGCATCCTGGAGTTACTGGAGGTAAGACTATTAATATCTGTTTCAAGATCTTTTTACGAACCATCCAAGATCTGTTGTTCAGAAGTATGCTGGCACTGAAACTTCAGTAGGAACTGAAGAGCCAGCAGACATAGAGGATTAGACTCCAGTATGCGTAGAGGATTGTGGGCCAGCTGCAGGTGTCGAATGTGTTGCTACAGGACTACTCCCAACAAGATCAATAGGTGTCCCCGTGATCGAGCACAATACTTTCTGTTACTTACAATAATTAATGGTATCAGAGAAAATATATATATATATATATATATATATATATATATATATATATATATATATATATATATATATACATATATATATTGCTATCATACCATAAATTATTGCTTTGACATCACACAATACCCTCATTATTTAACCTATTAAATTTTTACTGTGAGATTTGGCCGACAATTTGACCGATGTAACCAAAATTGAGTAAAATTGCATTGTTGGCCGGCAATTTGGCCGATATGGGATAGGGCGCCAGCTGTCGATCCATTCTGACAAGCGAACATGGTGCAGCACGATCTTCATTGGCAACCAATTAGTCATGGAGGTAAAACTATTAATATCTGTTTCAAGATCTTTTTAGGGATATTCTGAATATCTCATACCTTTTAATTTGTTATTCAGAATCGTGCTGGCACTAAGACTCCAGCAGGCACTGAGAAGCCAGCAGGCATTGAGAAGTCAGCAGGCGTAGAGGATAAATCTACAGCAGGCGTAGAGGATGAGACTCCAGCAAGCGTAGAGGATGGGGCGCCAGCTGCAGACGTAGTGGATTGGGCGCCAGCTGCAGGTGATGAGCGTGTTGTGCCAGCTGCAGGTGATGAGCGTGTTGTGCCAGCTGCAGGTGACGAGCGTGTTGTGCCAGCTGCAGGTGACGAGCGTGTTGCTACGGGACTACTCCCAACAAGATTAATTAGGTGTTCCGATGATCGAGCACAATACTTTCTGGTATTTGTAATAGTTTATGGTATCAGAGCAATACACACACACACAAACACACACACACACACACACACACACACACACACACACATATATATATATATATATATATATATATATATATATATATATATATATATATATATATTGCTCTGATACCATAAATTATTGCTCTGACATCACACAATACCCTCATTGTTTAACCTATAAAATTTTTACGGTGAGATTTGGCCGACAATTTGACCGATGTGACCAAAATTGATAAAAATGGTATATTTGGCCGATATGGGATAGGGCGCCAGCTGCCGATCCCATTCTGACATGCGAACATGGTGCAGCACGATCTTCATTGGCGACCAATTTGTCATGGAGGTAAGACTATTAATATTCGTTTTAAGACCTTTTTAGGGATCTTTCAAATATCTCATACCTTTTAATTTGTTATTCAGAAGGATGCTAGAACTAAGACTACAGCAGGCACTGAGAAGTCAGCAGATGTAGAGGATAAATCTCCAGCAGGCGTAGAAGATGAGACTCCAGCAAGCGTAGAGGATGGTGCTCCAGCTGCAAGCGTAGTGGATTGGGCGCCAGCTGCAGGAGTCGAGCGTGTTGTGCCAATTGCAGGTGTCGAGCATGTTGCTACGGGACTACTCCCAACAAGATTAATCAGGTGTCCCCATGAGTGTCCCGGTGATCGAGCACAGTACTTTCTGGTATCTGTAATAATTTATGGTATCAGAGCAATATATATATATATTGTTCTGATACCATGAATTATTACCGTGATATTATATAATGCACTGAGCCAACCGATTAACCGAAAAAAAATCGATTTGGTAATACAAATTAAAGTTCAATTCAGTTAATAGTTAATTAAAATGGTTCAGTTAACTGAACAGTTAACGATTGCACATCGCTAGTTGATACTATTCTTCTCAGAACTGGGAGAGCAGA